TCTGCAGTCAGAATCTCTTAATTTCCTAAACTGATCATCATCTTTCGTTCCACTTTGACATAACATAATTTTGCATTTTAAATTGCGTTCAATCAATCAATCAGTCAAAGACATAAATTTGTATTTTAAACCTGATACGATATTTTGTAATTATGTATGCAGTAATGTAACACGATCGTGTGTTTCACAACATGTCTGTGCTAATTAAACCCCGGCCTTTACATCAACAGTAGTCATGACTTGAAAAACTTCAGACTCACTTTGTGATATTTTATTTACACACATGTCGGCTGCAACATCACTGATGAATACAAAACAAATACTGGAGCAGCGGAGACGAGGAAATGTTGGGGGGGAGTTTTGGAGGCGACGCAAAACAAGGGGCTTGATCTCTCAACGTGTTGTAAACTAGCTAACGTTAATGAGAACGGCCTACTGAGTGACTCCGTCGCTATGCTAGAGCAGAATTACACCCTGAACGCGTTTTCTCTGTTTCACGCACCGGAAAAATCACGACATTAAGGGTTGCAGTTAAAAAGATTTAACATAAAAACAGCCTCATAGCCTCTCGTTTTTCGAAAAGAATTCTGTTAACGAGACAGACATAATTCGTTAGAACAAAAAAAAAAGTCTTGGCACGTAAAATTTTGAAATAAAAATGTGCTCCTGTCTCGCTGGTAACGATTAGTATCGTACTAATCCGTGAAAACGCGCATGGCAGCAATAAATACTGAACTATCGACACAGCAAACGGATAAAATGAAAACCACAGTAACGAGACATCTGGATCGAATTAGGTCCTTCATCCTTCCATTGAACTGCTTGACAGTTCTTAAAATGCAGTCCGACTGCCTCTGGTCATTCATTCCAACCATCCATCCCTCCGTCCAGATATACTCAAAAGTACTGAGCGGGTTAACGTATCCGTAAAGCGTCTACCTCGAAATCTCGGCTGGAAACCCGCAGTCCTCACAGGTCAGTCACTGTTTCCAAAGGCCCCCGTCTTTTATGAAACCCTGAGGCTCATAACAACTCACAAAGTCCGTGTTAGAGTGCAGAATTTCGTAACAAACTCGTGTTTCGCGGTGACGAGCTGTTAGCCCCACGTTTAACCTCTCAAACGTGAATCACCACTTGCTAGCTGCCCTCAAATGCTGATCCTAAATATCTGCTGTTACCCTCCAAGCTTTCTTCTTTATCCGCAATCTGAGAAAGACCCATGGCGCTGTGACGAATAGGTACACGTAACACTGAAAATGACCTCATTACTGTAACGAGTTTTTTTTTTGCCCGTAAAAATAAGCACCTCTCTTTGTGAATTCACCGCCGAACTTTAGAGATAACAGCGTTAAAAGTAAATCTAACTGTTCCAATCTGTACAGTATAACAATTAATCATTCGAGGATTTCTGTCTTCTGGGTTGCTGCGCTGTGTAGTCATCGCCCTGATGATGGAGGCAGTATGACCTCTGAAACGTTGGTAAACATCGACCAGACTACACAGCGCAACAACCCAGAAGACAGAAATCGTCATACTCATCGCCCTGATGACGGAGGCAGTATGACCTCTGAAACGTTGGTAAACATCGACCAGACTACACAGCGCAACAACCCAGAAGACAGAAATCGTCATACTCATCGCCCTGATGACGGAGGCAGTATGACCTCTGAAACGTTGGTAAACATCGACCAGACTACACAGCGCAACAACCCAGAAGACAGAAATCGTCATACTCATCGCCCTGATGACGGAGGCAGTATGACCTCTGAAACGTTGGTAAACATCGACCAGACTACACAGCGCAACAACCCAGAAGACAGAAATCGTCATACTCATCGCCCTGATGACGGAGGCAGTATGACCTCTGAAACGTTGGTAAACATCGACCAGACTACACAGCGCAACAACCCAGAAGACAGAAATCGTCATACTCATCGCCCTGATGACGGAGGCAGTATGACCTCTGAAACGTTGGTAAACATCGACCAGACTACACAGCGCAACAACCCAGAAGACAGAAATCGTCATACTCATCGCCCTGATGACGGAGGCAGTATGACCTCTGAAACGTTGGTAAACATCGACCAGACTACACAGCGCAACAACCCAGAAGACAGAAATCGTCATACTCATCGCCCTGATGACGGAGGCAGTATGACCTCTGAAACGTTGGTAAACATCGACCAGACTACACAGCGCAACAACCCAGAAGACAGAAATCTTCATACTCACCGCTGTGTAAACCTCAAATCTTACAATTAACCATTCAGTTGTCTTACATTACATTTCTTTTTCGAAAATCGTAGAACACATGTCATTTGAAATTGCACTCCCTTATAGCAAGAACCATATGGTTTCTTCCTACTACCAGCCAATGGAGACGCTTTGAAAGGTAATATGCATATGTAGGGGATCGAGGCAAACCCAGCAGTGGGAATGTGGGAGAGGGGGAATGCTTATCACTTACAAACCGAAATGACGTAGATAGCCCAAACGGATACAAGTTCTTTTTTTGCCAACCTCATAAATCAAGTGCAGATGTCAAAAGATACTTGTGGCAGTATATTAAAAAAACCTAAAAAAAATTCTAGTCGGTGTGGGGATACAGCATCATCATAGTGTCACGGGAGACGAAGGCTGAATCAGAGGACGTTCGCAGAATAGATTACACTTATCTGTGGCTAAGCCAAGGCAAAGTAAACGTGTTCTACAGTCTAATGATTTTTATAAAAATATATAAGAAATGTGCATTGATTTCACATGAATTTGCGCTTTATTATCGATAATAAATCAATCATTAAACACGACCCCTAGGAAATTCTCCATGACAAAAAAGCTGGTCTCTCCGTCGAATCCATTGGCGCTACCTGTTTCCCTTTCCTTTGGGTCCCTGTTCAGAAAGTGTTCTTGGGATGCGGGAATTCTACCCGCGCGTCTCAGTCGTATGAAATCCCTAGGGCACATGGCCACAGCACATCTAGGTAATGCAGTAAGGGACTGCGGCCCTATGCTACCGGATAAGTGTCCCTCTATATTTACAACCCCTAGAAAGAGGCGTCCCAGTATCTTAAAGTGTACAGGAATTGAGTTCTCCCTTCGTCCGAGAACACTCCCCAATATATTCGGCCTACGCTAGTGTATCAGGTGGGAACTATGTCTCCGCACAGGGGAGGTTCATTGTGTAGCCTTGTTCGTCCGCCGACAAAAACTTACGACACTTCATTTCATTCAAATATTTCAATACTTCTATGCCACAAGGCTTTATAAACTACTGTTCACTCAACCATTTATAAGTGCAATTTAAAACATTACAACGCATTACACATTCGGGTCGTCTTTAAGTTTGTAATTAACGTATAAAATGTTAAAATCTCCATATATAATTTTATACACCAAACATCAATGGTTCATTAGTCATCACCGCGAAACGGAAATCTAAGTGTTGATTTCGCACAACCGCCATGTTGTTATTTTATATAAACAAAGATGCGTATATTTTTAAGATTATTATCCATACCAAATTTCAGATCCCTACGTAAGTGGGTCCATTGTCATGTCAAACTCAGATATTTGTACATTACCAGGCTGGTATTACTGACGGTAAGGAAGTGTCATGTCAAACTCAGATATTTGTATATTGCCAGGCTGGTATTACTGACGGTAAGGAATTGAAAGGAGAAGGGCGAGGTGATTATTGACGTGCGACGTGAGGACTGAAACAAATGAAAAGCGGTCCCGAGCAAAGGATTGAAACTCGGATACGACGCGCCACATCATACACAACATTAAAAGAAATATATTAATGATAGCAGTAAAATGTGTTGGCTTTCATAGTACGATATTTTTCACATGTGAAGGTAGATTAAGTACTATGTCAGATGGTCCGATGTAAATTATATTCATTCTGTGAGATACGCGTTGAAAATGTTGATTAATGACTCCCGAAGGAAATAACAGTGATGTGTTTCTGTTATCTTTTTTCACGTCATGCGTTAGAGTCGGTACTGTGGACATTTCTGTCTTTTTAACACCATCACCAATCATCCGACATAAAAGCGAGAGATGGTTCTTGTCGTCAGAGTCCTTCACACAGCGACAGTATAGAATTACAGCTCCTGCCACATCGTTGTTTTATTGAGACATGTGACAGGTTACGTTTTACGACACTTCAACGTCAAAATTTACCGATTAGTCGTTTAATCGATTGCCGATATTACGAGGTTATTTTGAAACTTACACTGCCAGACGCAACTAATGCAGTGAAACCATAAATATTGTATCGATGCAGGGCTCGTATGTCCGCCAGTGAACTGCGTGACTCACCTTCATGTTTATGGTGACTCCTTTCTGGGTCCCGCCAAACGCCGCGGGCAGAACACTGTGCCCAGGGCCTGACTTTAGACGCCTATTGCGCACCACGATGAACATGATGGCGCCCATCAACAGCAGGATGACGGCAGTGAGGACGCCGATCACCAGGCCGATGTATTGCTTGGACACCGAGCTGTCCGGTCCTCCAGGGTCACCCGACTCAGCCCCTGCGCTGTTGGCTCTGTCGTCTCGACTCGGCGTAGTCTGCACTTCGTCTCTCTGCAGTGGATACTCCTTGCCGTGATCGTCTGTCTTCAGGATCCCGCCTTCAATCTCCTCCTCCGTGAAGTTTCCTGACACTACGACTGAAACAAGTCACCCTGGGTGTGTAGTTTTCTGATTGTGGACCTATACTACCAACATTATGGAGGGTATGCAGGCTATGTACTTTATAAAGATGGATGTACGATGTTCCTCCTAAAAGTTGGTATATAAATTCAAACATTTTATTTAAATCGATCTGTTTTAAAAGTAAAGAAAAATATTTAATACTTCAACCACTTTATCGGGGAGATAAATTTTGTATTCGACACTGATCGACAAATGTCAAGTTTCGAAATTCCGAAGAAATCTTTCTAACTGCAGGGTACAACAACTCTCGAACGGGCGAACCAGTTTCGCAAAGAATCAATAACTGCCCGGTAATTCCCTTTTTATCTGAATATGATGTGTAAAACCAACAGAATTCTCATTTAGAATTATCGGTGTCTCTGGGATATGGCATCAAGTTCCCGGCACCATTAGCGGCCAGCAGAACTAATAGCAGCTTTACGAGACATTCTGAAACTGAGGTGAGGATAAATATAGGCCCTGGTGACGGAGTCCCTGTCGGAGCAGCTGATAGGTAACATCCTCCTACGAGAAGATGCAGACGGATGCAGCTACAAGAGCCTTGCTTGCTTGATGGCTCACACAGTGGGTGGCTTCTTCTCCGCTGTCAGCCGACGGGGAACAGAAATCCTTCCTGCTAAACTGTCTTCTTACGTTGTCTCCCCTAAAATGGACTACCTGCTGTCTCGCACACACCCTAACTGAGAGATCAGCTATCATATTAAGAAATATTTTGGGTTAGACCTACTGTATAACTTTAAAATAAATAATTGAGCAAATTAATATAAAATTAAGTATGCGAACTTGGGAAGGGGGGGGGTGTAATAATCTTTGAAATGGCAGAAACATGTGACATGGAAGCACCGATTCCGAATACACTAAACTATATTAAGACTGAAGATCATATAAACACAGCTGACAACACTGAATAAACCATTAGAACATCGTGACAGATGCAGAATCTCCAACGAAATTCTACAAGATATTATACAAAAATACGGAAACCAAGACAAAGCTTAAAAAATACGGAATAAGCATTTGAAGTCGTAACAAGCTTAAGTGCCAAGAAGAATAAGAATAAGATGTTGATGGGCTGTGTTCTGAGGAGGTTTTGTGGGAAACCTCGTTAAACATTACTGGTGAGAACACATCAGAGATTACGAAGTTTATAAATGAGAATGAGCGGAACAGACATGGCACAAAGGATTTTGGAGAAGGCTCTTCGCATTGTTTTCAAAACCAGAATGCGGACGAGTGCTATAGATTTCGGTGATCTATTACTCCTGCGTCCGAACAAGAATACGGCACGTTGTTTAGTCATCCATTGTGCTGTGTGTTGGGTTGCGGTTGTTCCAGGGATCTGGGGCTCAGGAGTAGACGACATTGAGACTTGGAGGTGATTTGTTTTCTCATTTCATACACATTCATTCTGTTTTGTGCCGGAAGGGAAACGTCATGTTCCACCTTGCCAGGACCATTTCTTTTGTATCGTGCATTCTCTCTGATCCTTCATTTATCTTCGCGTTCTCTCACATGGCACTATCTATCGTCACGATGTCAGACTACTTAAGGTTTCTACTTAGATTTTGTATAAAAAGACTTTACAAATGTGCCCTTTATACAACCAACCTTAAGTTCTGAAACACTAGGAACAGAAGATGCTACATGTAATGATGGATGCCTAATAGATGCTGCCAGTGAACCCAAACCAGTTTTCACACGGTGGGCATTCTTTACTGTCACTTAAATACAGGGACAGAGCCAACATACGAAACTCAGCATTTCTGCTATTAAGCAGACAACACGGCGTTCAGGAAAGATACTCTCTTGGTAGTTTAAATTTTAAGGTTTATTTTACACAAGGTTCGACTACAGATATTATTACCCCCTTTAACCCGAAGCTTACCTAAATAATATTTAAGATTAAAGTCCATACCTCAAAGAAAACACAATAAATCTGAGTTTCAAACCACACGAAACCCATAAATACAAAAAAAGTAACTGTTAAACCAAATAGTGCATACAGTTAATACTGGGGTTTAACGCGTTAAAGTTGCCTAGTAACAAGGGGCTATGTAGCAGGCGTATCTAATGCTTTGTACAGCCCTGAAATTCATCAGTGGCGGACAGAAAAGGAAGAAACGCAGAGTGACGGTGAATGAGAGCGGAGCGCGCCACCAGTAGGTTATAATGTATAGTTCAGTCTTTCCATCGCGATCCAATTTGTTATGGCCACACAAGTCTCTAGTCTTGCCCCAGATCGATGGCTCCCTAAATTACACTCATTAATTACACGTTATCGCCTCCACTGATTTCGGTAAACAGTAGCCAGCCAGCTACTTCTAGATTCTAGAATCTTGCTACACTAGACGTTTCCCAAGACAGAGTACAAGCCGCCGGCATGAATTAAAATGTTTGTGATGCCACACTCGTTTCTTTATATTACATCACAATGATTTACAGTTATTTATACAGTTTAACCTTCTCATCCCTGGCTATTACGTTAATAAGGCTTGTGTCAGAAGTTATGACTACTTTTATAATTAAAATTTAAATTGCGGATATATATGTGCATGTGTGTTTGATTATAATTCGAGAATGCATGCACCAATTTACACGAAACGATGTCTGTGCCTTGAGGTTAGAAAGAGATTACAGAGATAAAAACTTCGTAAAAAAAGCCCTGGGTTCGAGTCCCGGCGAGGGTGGTATCTATGGATTTGAAAAAGGACGACAGAACAGTCTCAAAAGGGAGATTACAGCAACAGGGGTCACGACCCCGACGACGTCTTCGAAGATAAAATGTGTGAGATTTTTCTACACTCACCGAAAATGTATCTGACTTTCACAGCATGAATTCTACCACAGTTTCTTGCAATTTCATTAAAAAGAATAAATCGTTTTAAATATTCTCCCGTAAAGATAAATAAATCAATTAAATTATTTTTTCTACAAAGAACATTATTTACAAACTTATTTTCGCTATTTACGGAACTCTGAAAATTCAATTAAATTACATTCTTAGAATAAAATATGTAATTTATTTTCTCATTATGTTGTAATTACATCAATTTGCTGTAAATTCCTGGAAGGATCTACTTTCTCGTCTCCTTTATAAATACTAAAGCATTTTAAGCGATATTTTTCTTAGTTGACCAAGATTCGAACACGGCTATTAACATAAGTACCATTAACACTGCCACTATTATCACTACTACTATACCACCTCCACCGTAAATAATAATAATAATAATAATAATAATAAGCATCATCATCTACTCCTGATATAATAGCCAATGTCCGTCAAGCAAGTTCGTTTTATTTTTTAATAGGGCCTGCTTTGTTACTTTCTTGTTCTTAGCTGCAGGAGTACGCCGTTCGTGTGATAAATTACAGGTGTTTTATTAGACTACTGAACGAAATTGAGCATCCCTAAATCAGCAATTTCTCTCAGTCTTTTCCCCCTCCAACTCTCCTTCCTTCGTCTTGTTAACGGTGCCGAACGCTGCAGTAATAAAGACGTACGGATAGAATGGACCAGTCCGCAGTCAATACTTTCGTAACGTAGATACCAGTAACATTGGTAATCAAGGCACATGAGTTTTGTGAAAAAAGTCTTTGATCATTCCAGCAAAAGAATGCAAATCCTTTTCGGGGAATTATCACAGCATAAACATATTCAACTAACAACAACTTTGAATCCAAAATTCGTCTAAATAATATTCATAAAAATTCGGTCCGTACCGCAAAGAAAACACAAGTGTTCACCATTACAAAGATCAAATGGTTACAGCTGTTTAAGGAAATAATCCCTGTTTACACTGAATATCCATACATATAAAATGTTTAGTTACTGATTTTTGAAGATGATGGGAGATATATTTACCGTTGCAATTTAAAGTGTTAACGGATTTGAGGTTCTCACGGCAGAGAGTACGAAGATTTCTGTCTTCCGCGTTTTAGCGCTGTGTAGTCGTGTAGAAGTTTACCGACGTTTCAGAGGTCTTTGCGCTATAGTACAGAATAAATCCATCTTAAAATTACTTCTCTTAACAAGGTTTTCTTTTCTACGCTTTCTAAGGGGAAAATTTCACTATGTTTACAACGTCAAGGCGTTTCTTTTAAAGCTGCAAATGGGAAAGGTGTGCTGTTCGACTCAAGTATATATGAAGATGTACTTCCTTATTAAATTAGTTCGGTTCACAGGGCAGAGTGGCATCAAGTCAGTGACAGCTGACGGTTAGAGGACTGGAAGACACAGGAGAAGATGTCGCAAAACCTAGTCGCATCCTCAGAAGTAGTAAGGCAAATTTTAGTTTTCTTCTTACGACAGATGAATGTCGGAATGATTTTGATATCTCGCGATTCTGGTTACTGAAAACCGACGAATTTCTTAACACGTCGTATTTCGCCCTTTCCAAAATATTTGGACACACCATACACGAAAAAAAATCTTAACAGGCATTCGATGTGTTCGCAAATAAAAAATAATAATTTGTAATGTTAATCGAAATATATGCCGATAAGGATTTAGGCAAACCGCGGATTTTAATGGCTTATTTGAAAATGTAACGCCATAACCAGCCACAAGCTAGAAGCCTTAAAATACTACTAGTGTAGGTCGTTTGTCATTTATTTTTTCTCACGCTACATCCTACAAAAACAACACCCAAAACAGGAAATTAACAACGAAAGCTTCGGGCAAACAGAATACGTGAACATGCCAAGACTTTTCTCCGTTTTGTTTCAAGAAAACAACAAGAAATAACAAGCAAAGACACGACGCAAAATGCACATGGTGCGCGGTTCTCCATTGGCATCTTGCCGTCGACGATTTGACAAACAAGCCGTACACAGTGACGAGATCCCAGGAATGTCAATTAATTCCCCTCTGTGAACTCATGTAGCAGTATTGGTTATAATTAGTGAGGGGGCTGCTAGGGTGCACTTCTGTGAATGCTCAAGTGGGTCTTCT